TTTCGAAACGCTCTCGAGGTACTTCGATGTCAAACACTGATCAGTGCACTGCTTTTAAGTCGAACACACCTAATATGTACGATTAATTGCATCGCTTTGACCGTAGATCCCACCTTCTCACACGCCATGATTGGTCCATTATGTACAATGCTTGCATGTTATTGGTCAAACTACTTTTCGATCATTAGCTTCAGCAAGCATGAAAACAGGAAAACAAAGCCAAAACAAATCCTGGCCAGGACGCGTCCTGGGAAAATGGCACGTATGGTCACCTTAAGCTGGACTAAACAACGCATGCTGTTCTGTGTCAGCTGCGTCACGCCAGATCTGTTTCCTATGTTGTTGTGATTTGATCTGAACGGAAACAGCATATCCGTGTGACACAGCTGACACAGAATAGCATACGCTGTTTACATCCAGCGGATATTCTCCAAAATGGCACCAGGGTGATGCGGAGGAGACGAATTGTTGAATAAAGTCGTTTTTTTTTTCTTTTGCGCACAAAAAGTATTCTCGTAGCTTCGTATAATTACGGATGAACCACTGATGTCACATGGATTATTTTACAGATCTTCTTGCTACGTTTCTGGACTTGGGAACATTTCAGTTGCGTTGCTGTCTATGCAGGGTCAGACAGCTCTCAGATTCCATCAAAAATATCTTAATTTGTGTTCCGAAGATGAACGAAGGTCTTACGGGTTTGAAACGACATGAGGGTGCGTAATTAATGACAGAATTTTAATTTTTGGGTGAACTAACCCTTTAATGGTTATTTTGACTGCTTACAAAGCTTAATATTTCATAGCAGAGACAGAACAAATGTCTATCCCATAGCGCTCATAGAGTCAGTTTATGTCTTGTACAAATTAATGCATTTTTACATGAGAAATGTATTTGTATCATATCAAAGCCCCTTACTCTGTTGCAAACAGGTGCAAAACATTGTGGAGCAACTTGCAGCAGGCATTCGATACTTTGATCTTCGAATTGCCCACAAACAGTATGATTCTTCCAATGAGCTTTACTTCACTCATGTCATTTACACATATGCAATGGTCGTTGTAAGTATATAGATGAGTGTTGAGATGAATTAGCTATTAAAGTTGGTCATTTATTCTTTTTTTGTGCATTTTCTGCTTTCTAAACTTGTTTTGTTTTGTAGGAAACTCTACAGACTGTTGCTTCATGGCTTGAATCACATCCCAAAGAAATCATCATTCTAGCTTGTAGACATTTCGAAGGGCTGAATTATAAAATGCATGAGGAATTCATCTATTCTCTGAAGAAAATCTTTAGCTCTAAACTGTGCCCTCGCGACGTGAGAAACCATTTGGAATTTTTAAACATAAATTAATATTTTTTTTTCCTTAATAGCATTATGATAGCAAATTAATACACCACCTGTCAAAAGTTACCTATTTATTTATGTTTTTGAAAGTCACCAAGGTTGCATTTATTTGATCAAAAATGCAGCAGTTACAAAACAAAGAACTGTTTTCTACTTTAATATATTTTAAAAATGTCATTTATTCCTGTATTGGTAAAGCTGAATTTTCAGCAGCCATTACTCCAGTCTTCAGTGTCACGTGATCGTTCAGAAATCATTCTAATATGCTGATTTGGTACTTTCTTGTTTTTACCAATGTTGAAAACAATTGTGCTGCTTTATATTTTTGTGAAAACCAAGATTTAAAAAGAAAACTTTTATGTAGCAAGGACACATTAAATTGATCAAAAGCTACAGTAAAGACATTTATGTTACAATATATTTCAAATAGATGCGGAATCCTGAAAAAAAAAATGTATCGCCTTTTATACAAAAATATTAAGAAGCAAAAACTATTTTCAACACTGACAATAATAAGAAAAACGATTAATAACTGAGCATCAAATCAGCATATAAGAAGGATCGTGTGACACTGGAGTAATGGCTGCTGAAAATTCAGCTTTATCTTTAAAATATATTAAAATAGATATTTTAAATTGTAATAATATTTCACAATATTACTGTTTTTACAGTGTTTGTGTTCAACTAAATGCAGCCTTGGTGAACATAAGAAGCACATTTAATTATACCAGTTTTTGACTGGCAGTACATATATAAAAACATTATGAAGTTTCTGCTAACATTTGAAACTGCAACAGGCTTGAAATCTGTTACTGTTTTGTATTATACACATTCTTAAAGGAGGCCCTATTGACCTTGCGGAGTCTGTGGACATCAGGCTATCAAGTTGTGCTGTCATATGACGACCAGTCAGCATCACGCCATAAGGAGTTGTGGCCTGCTATCCCATACCTTTGGGCCAATAAGCCTAACGCAGAAGAGCTGATCTACTATCTCGAATGCCAGAAACGACTTGGTCTACCTGGTGAGAAAAGCTTTTGTTTGGTTATACCTGAAAAGAAAAAAAAAGAGGGTTCCCCATACCTCTGGTCTCTGATCAGCATATTTCTATTTCACAGAGGGTTTTTTTGTAGCAGGCCTGAATTTAACGACAGATCGATGCTTCATCGCCTCACATCCTCGGGTGTCTCTCCGAACTCTGACCATGGAGAACTGGAACGACGTGAAGAAATGGCTAGGAGATCAGAAACCAGGAGCTGAACCCACATGTCTAAACATAATAGCAGGCGACTTCATTGGTCCTGTACCATTTTGTTCACTTGTTATTGCTCTCAACAAAAAACTGCTTTAAGGAGCTTTTGAAGTAAAATGGGCTTATATGTGAAGTCTTTGTTACATGTGAAGGCATTATTTAAGGAATCATTTGGGTCACAACCCAAGGTTTACAAACTTAGCATGTTTTCTAGTGATCTAAAGTGTATTCAGACTAATGCCTAAATGAGACAATGTGCAATATTCAATCCTTAGTATGTTTACATGTGCCTTTTACTGTATAATTATACTTGATGAATTAAGCAGCCTTTTAAAAATTTGTATCAAGCTTTGAGAGTTAAAACTTAAAAATTTTTTGACAGACATGTATTTTCTACCAATATTGTTCATATATTAGCACAAATCGACTTTGTTTCTTAATGTCTTGATTTTTATTGTATTCAAATATTGGTTTTGAGATATTTGAACGACACTGTTTATAAAGCAAATAAATATTTAAACATCATTATTGCACTGAGTGTGGGAATTATTTTGGATGATGGCTGTAAAACAGGGGCCATCTGTTACTAGGTGACCTGAAATAGCTTCCTGTAGCGGCCATATGCAGCTTGGCTAATGATGACCTTGACATTGGCGGTGCAGTCGTCTCCCACATCATCTACTGCCTGAACCGTCGCCTCCTTATACAGCCAACTGTGAAGAGAAAAGTGCACCAAATTAAAAAGTCTGTGGATAAGATAATATATTCCCTTAAAATGTTTTACATAAAACTTACGCTAACTGAGGGCTGTTGAGCTGCACTTTAAGGGTCATTATTTGTTTGCCGGTATACTTAACAACAGCTTCTTCAATCTTTTCTTTTAATACCTCCAGTCCATGCTGTTTCAGAGCTGATATAGGAATAACCTCAGGATCACTGACCTCAAATCTATGGAACATGTATAAAACATTTATTTTTCTAAAATAAAAATGTGATTGGTGTTTGGGCGTGTTGCGTTTGAAAGTATTCGTTACTAAATGAAATTGCTACACAAATCAGGTAAAAGATGTCTCACCCTTCAATGAGGTCAATCTTATTGTGCACCTCTATTATGGAGTTCAATAGTTTTTCTGGAATCTGTAGATTCTTTAGTACATTCAGTACATTGACCTTTTGATTCACAGTTTCTGGATGACTGATGTCTCTCACATGAATTATGAGGTCCTGCAAAAGGAGAGGGTGTTAAAGGGGTCATATGATGCGATTTCAAATTTTCCTTTCTCTTTGGAGTGTTACAAGCTCTTGGTGCATACAGAAGATCTGTAAAGTTGCAAAGACTAAAGTCTCAAATCCAAAGAGATATTCTTTATAAAAGTTCAGTCAGCCACACCTACCTAAAACAGCTCGTTCTAACACGCCCCCACATATCTACCTCACTATGTGAATACACAAAATAATGTTCTTTTTAGCAGCATCATATGACCCCAACATTTCTATAACATTACTAAAAATGAAAAGCTTTTTAGTGTTGTGTCTTGGGTACATACAGAATGTGTTACATCCTCCAGCGTGGCAGAGAAAGAGTCAATAAGCTGGTGAGGGAGCTGGGACAAGAAGCCAATGGTGTCAACATAAAGTACAGTCATGTGACTTGGCAGCTTTCCTGCATGTACTGTAACATCCAGGGTGGCAAAGAGCTGATCTTTAGGCTGGAGACCAGCATCTCCAGTCAGTGCTTTAATCAGGGTTGTTTTACCTTTAGAAACAAAGACTGTTAATGTGTATCTTACAATCTCATACAATAGTTTAACAGGTTAATATTTATCCAAACCTCACCACAGTTAGTGTAGCCCATGACAGAGACGATGGGAAAGTCTCTGTGTTTGCGCTGGGAGCGCAGAAGGTGCCTCTTCCTCCTAAGCCGCTCCAGGGCTGATCGAATCTTTAGCTCTCGCTCCTTCAACAATCGCTGCTGCATTTCAAACAAGGTTTCACCTGTAAATATATTTGAACTCCAGTTAAACATAATAAACCTTGGGCTTAAAAACGACCCTAGATTAAATGTTTCAAGTGTGACAAGCCCATTTTAGTCCTTACCTGAGCCCATAATGTACCTTGAGCCGCCACCTTGCTGGTCTAAGTTAGCGACTTCATTTCTCAGGCGTGATCTTATGTGTTCAAAGAACAAAAATATGTTGGTAAATCTGTGTTAACACTAAATGGTGTTTATTTATTATTGAGATATAAAAGCAATAGCACACTAATACGAGCAACATTGAACAAACTCACCATGGACATCAACTTTTATTGTGTTGGAAAGTACATTTAAAAGTTTGTATTTTATTTTTTTTTTTTAAGAAATTAAAATTTTCATTCGGTAAGGAGGCATTAAATTGATCAAAAGTACCAATAAAGTAATTTATAATGTTGAAGACTGGGGTAGTGGCTGCTGAAAAATCAGCTTTATTCCATCACATGATTTACATTTCAAAATGTATTAAAATATAAAACAGTTATTTTAAATGGTATATTTTTTAAATTATTTATTTACTATATTTATGACCAAATAAATGCAGTCATGGAGAGCATTAGAATCTTCTTTAAAAATAGTATCAACTTCAAACTTTTGAACTGGAGTGTTTGCTAGGAAAGAATTGTTGATTTCATCAGGAAACAATATAGATTATGAAAATAGTATATAACTTATATAATTTACCTGAGCAAGGGAATCTCTGCCAAAGAGATTTGCAGTTTGGCCTCTTTTGTTCTAGCATTACAGCGGAAAATATGCAGAACAAGTGAGTATCTATCAAGAACCTTTACTCCCCAGGCTTCCTGCAATTCTTTCTGAAACACAAGTGTAACATTGCATGTTTCTTAGAAAAAAAATGACTAACACTTTAATTACGACTATATTCAAAGAAGAACTTCTTATGATTATACTATAGCCACAGTGAATCTAGTACTATTTTTAGAAATGATATAGATTCTTCATGAATCATGATAGTCCAAATAGATTTTCATGGTCTTTTGTGCACACATTTTAAAACCCTTTGAAGTGAATTGATGCAATCACAGTATAATGCTCTGAATACTCACTTCCGAGGAAGGTGAAAGACATTCCACGTTCACAAAAACAGCTGTGACCCCAGGAGTAGCTCTGATCTTCTCTTAGAAATATTACAGAACAGAGAAAACATGTCAATTTGTGCCTAAAATACCTATTTATTCAAAACTAGTAAGCTACATACCTGTAAGAGCCTGGAAGTTTCCCTTGCCAAAAATTCTTCTCTTCTCTGGTGTCTTGGTGGAGAGGATGATCTTATCAACAACACTCCAGTTATACAAAGTGTTCACCAGACCCACAGCTTCTTCCATCTGAAGTGCCGCTGTCAAAGGAACAACTTTGTATTATGTAAAATGTCACATTTATCCAATGATTAAAATCAGTGTATAATTTTACCTGTGGTCAGATATTGCTTTCTGCTGCCCCATTTCACATCAGGATGCACAATGAAGACCCTGTGTTCTTCTTCACTGATACCTGTGGGGATCTGCTGCTGGAACAGCTCCTCTATTTCTGCCTCATCAATTTCATCTTCTTCTTCTTCTAGACTGTTGTTATCTGTGTTGTGATTTTTGCTCTTAAACATGCAAGCTGTCAAAGACAAAGTCCTTGCTGGCAGAACTGGAACTGCAACCCCAGCTCTTAAATTTTGTCTTGGACATGGGAACATGGTAACAACTAATTTTGAGGTACATTGAAAAAATCTGATTGGTTTACATGTCGCAAAAGCCATGTACCTTCTACCAAGGACATGTTCAGCACATAATTTTCTCCAAGCATATCTGCACAAAAACACATGGTTGGTCAGGATACTGATCTTGTTGAGATTCATTTGCTCAGGTTTTGGTTACAACAATTGATGCAACGTTCAAATCATGCGTCCAACATCCAACGTTTTCGTTAGTAGAAACGTTTAGCGCACCCTAGAGAGAAATCAACAAGAAAAACATAATTTTACTGTACAACTAACTCAGCATGTTTTGATACGTCTTCCTCTCTTGTGTTTAACACGGCGTTTTTTCAACTGCGCCACCGGTAGGATAGGTGCGGTATTAGTTTTTGTTTTTGTATTTTTGTAAATACACGTTTATTTTAACTCCATGTATTGTATTATATTAGAAGCAAGCTGAGAAGAAATTTTAGTATGTATGTATGTATGCTTTGTAAAATGTTGTAACATAATCTGTTCCACAGAGAGAGACAGGAAAAAGACTTCCAACCGAGGACTTTTATTTTGAATGTATTTTAGTGGGCGGAGATTATCCTACATTGCTATTACTGTACTGTGTGTGTTCCAAGCATACAGTCTATGGTTCCAAGCAGTATATCAATGTCTGGTATCTTTTAATTTAAGGCAATGTCGAGTGAGTATATTTTTTATATTCAGAGTGGTACAATGTTCAGATCATGTTATTTGATATAGTTTAGTTGGTGATTATCTAAACGTAGCATATTAACATGCTTGATTTCACTTTGCATTGAGCAGTTCACACCGTCAAGCTGTGGATTAGTTAAGTGTGAAATGTTTGAACTTAAAAACAGATATCATTTTGTTAATGTTTTGACTGCAGATGTGGTTCATACAGATCATGTTTTGACTGTGCATTTAACTTAAATCACCCAAAACTACAATGAAACAAAAACATGTTTTTGTTTTGACTGCACCTCCCTTGACAGAAGAACAAAAGTGCAGAGAATTCCGAAACAAAAACCTGCAAAGGAGGCTGCTGGTTAAAAGTTGAAAGTGTTGTGAATCATTGATCCTGCAGCAGCTAATAACTAAACAATTGATCTTCTGCCCTCTAGAGTTTAGTCTGGCTGTGGTTCAGTTACGTGTGTCAAAGATCAAGGCGGACAACTTGGGAAGAGCACAAAAACTTGTGAAGGAGGCTGCAGGACAAGGTGCAAAAGTTGTAGTCTTACCTGTGAGTATTACATTCTATATCTTGGGTTATGACTACTATATTAATATTGGTTTATAAAAAAAAGATGGCATTTAATAATCCATTATATATATGTTTGTTTGCAGGAGTGCTTCAACTCCCCTTATGGAACCGGGTTCTTTGCTGAGTATGCTGAGAAGATCCCAGGAGAGTCCACACGGGTGTTGTCGGAGGCAGCCAGGGATTGTGGGGTCTATTTAGTGGGCGGTGAGACCCTCAGAAACAAACCAGCATGTTAGTGTGTTTGATGCCATTAATTTCCATGTCCCTTACATGACTGTGTCTTTGTTGTAGGTTCCATTCCTGAGAAGGATGGAGGAAAGCTCTATAACACCTGCTCAGTTTTTGGACCTGATGGAAAGCTGCTTGTCAAACACAGGAAAGTAAGTAACAGTAAAGACATTTTTTGTTACATAAGATTCCTACTTCAAATAAGTGCTGTCCTTTTGGACTTTCAGTTCATCAGGGAATATTGAAAACATTTTTATCACAGTTTCAGAAAATATTAAGAAGCAGAACTGATATCAACAATGATGATTATATGAAATGTTTCTTGAGCTCCACATCAGCATATTAGAATGATTTCTGAAGGATCATGTGACACTGAAGACTGGAGTAATGATGCTGAAAATTCCGCTTTACTATTACAGAAATAAATGACATTTTCATATTTAGTATTTAATATTCCATATTAGTGTTTTACTGTATTTTTGATCAAATAATAGACTAAAAATCTTACCGACCCCTACACTTTTGAACAGTTGTGTGTAGATATGTATAATGTGCATAATATATTTTAGGATGTATAAAAAAGCATTTGAGTAAACAGTTTGGCTTATGTAAAAAAAAAATGACTCAAACTTTTATACATTTATACTCTTTTTTTTTTTTTTATCTTCATTTCCTATCAGATTCATCTTTTTGATATTGATGTACCAGGGAAAATACGGTTTCAGGAGTCTGAAACACTAAGTCCAGGAAACCGTTTATCCATGTTTGAAACCCGTGAGTGTGTATTATAGAAATCGTGTCCATGTTATCAAGGAATATACAGTATATTATTGCTTATTGGCCAATATTAGAGTTTTTTTTTATCCGAATCAATGTTGGGTATATATTAGCCATTTTTATGCATGCACATTTCTCTTTATTTTTACATTTAGTAACAATCTGTAAAAACAAATAAAAACAATATTTTATATTATCAACCATAACAGGAGCATAACTATTGCCTTATCAGAATTGGCCAGAATATAAATATTGGTGCATTCCCAATGTTACCTTTATTTTTGCTCTCTCCATATGTGAAATCATACAGTTTATGTATTTCTTTGCAGCATTTTGTAAAGTAGGTGTGGGAATATGTTATGACATCAGGTTTGCAGAGCTTGCACACATCTATGCTAAGAAAGGTGAGAATTACAATGTAAAATGTTGTTAAAATGTAATGATGTAGGCATACTTGAAATTATTTTCTCTTGTATCTGTCTATGTAGGTTGCCAGCTTTTGGTATATCCTGGTGCCTTCAATATGACCACAGGTCCAGCTCACTGGGAGCTGCTGCAGAGGGGGAGGTCAGTATACCAGACCACCTGGAGTCACTAAACTATTCAGTTCCCCAGGCCTGCTGTAAGACAGTTTGTGTCCTTTTCACAGGGCAGTAGATAATCAGGTATATGTGGCCACTGCTTCACCAGCAAGAGATGAAAGCGCCAGCTATGTGGCCTGGGGTCACAGCTCTGTGGTTAACCCTTGGTCAGTGCTTTCTGTCTCATTAATGACAGGTTACGTATACATTTGCATGGGTTACTAAATATGATAACTGTGCCCTCTTTCCATGCAGGGGGGAGGTAATTAGCAAAGCTGGACCAGAAGAATCTGTTGTCTATGCTGACATAGGTATATTTCAGTGTTTTACATTTACTTAACTTGTGAGCTGTAGAGCCAGTTGGTCATAATGCAAACATACTCTTCCTCTTCTGCTTGTAGACCTGCAGTATTTGGCGGATGTGCGCCAACAGATCCCAATCACCACACAGCGACGGAATGATCTATATAGTGTTAACAGTGTTCAGGAGGGCTGAACTCTCATTCACACAAAGCACTGCAGTGGATTTTAAGACAGACTAAGTCAGCACTTTGAGTTAGACACAAGTCTTCATCAGTGTAATGTGGGGCATCGCACAACAAAGATGTTTTAATTCATGTGAACAGCAAGTGCCTCACAATTTGCATTCTTTTGATGATTCTCTTACAATGGAAATTATATTTGGAATAGATAAAAGAAGTGGTGAGAACAGTGGACAGTTATGCCTGGGCAGGTAAAGTGCTGCATCAGCGTGAGAAAAATATTAAGCGTCATATTAAGATGTTAATATTATCAAGTGATTTCCAAATCAAAATTATTATATTTTCATTGTCATTGTATTAAATCCAAAAGACATTAAAATATTATCTGGAAAATATTTACTTCATATTAAGTTACCTCTTGTTTTTTTCTACCGACTATTGAGATTATATATATATATATATATATATATATATATATATATATGTATATAAAA